GAACCTCACTGGCACGGATAAGATGGATGCTGGGCCCCTCCTGGAGTATTTCAGCCCTGTCACCAAGTGGCTTCAGGAGCAGAACAAGAAGACCAATGAGGTTCTGGGCTGGCCTGAATTTGACTGGCGTCCCCCTGTCCCTGAAGGCTACCCTGAGGGCATTGGTAAGGCTGGAGCTCCATCCTGGCTCTGGGGAGGGGCAGGAAGAGGTCTTCCCTCACTAGGATGTCCCAGGAAGGACAGTGCAAAAGGAGGTCTCTGCTGTGGGTAGGGGAGGTCTCCATGTCAGGAAGGAGAAATAGGTATCTCCACAAGGAGCCCCACAGGGTGTTGTTGCTTCCCAGGAAGCAGGTGCCAGGAACCAACCTCTTGACCTACCATTGCCTGAATCTGTGGCCCATCAGTCCTGGTGGGATGGGTCAGCTGCATCTTTGCTGCCTAAGTGAGAGGGTGTAGGGCTCACAGCATGTCCTGTTCTCCTGTCCTGCCCAAAGGGACACCCCCAGCAGGACCCCTCTTGCCCCCATTTCTTGGCTCAACCTGCTTCCAGGTTGTAGCACCCTCCACTGGACCTGAAGTTTTAAGCAGAGCTCAACCATGTCTTCTCCATGGGGTGGTGCTCTTGCAGAGAGACCAACTCTCCTGACTCCCCTTTCCCATCTTTCTCCTCCTCTAGACAAAATAGCAGATGAAGCAGAAGCCAAAGCTTTCCTGTCTGAGTACAACAGCACGGCCGAGGTGGTGTGGAACTCCTACACTGAGGCCTCCTGGGTCTACAACACCAACATCACTGACCACAACAAGCAGATCATGGTATGGGAACCACCTTGGGGTTTGGTGCAGGGAGATACAACAGCCAAGGCAGGCAGCTGGTCCCCCAGGCATGTTTCAGATGAGCTCTGAAAACTGGAGCAGCCTCTGCCCCTTTCTGAGGGGGAATGTTCTCACCCAGGAGGTGCCTTTTCCATGAAAACCCTCATCATGCCATGGGATACCTGCAAGGGCAGCCACGGGGAGGTTGTCACTCATGACATGCCAGGTGGTGTTTCTAGTGATGGTCTGTGTCTCGGGGATCTCCTCAAAGTAACTCCTGTCCTCTCCTACCCTTGTAGCTGGACAAGAACTTGGCCATGTCCAGGCACACCCTAGAGTATGGCATGAGGGCCAGGCAGTTCGACCCCTCTGACTTCCAGGACCCAAGTGTCACACGCATCCTCAAGAAGCTGAGTGTCATTGAGAGGGCAGCCCTGCCTGAGCACGAGCTGAAGGAGGTGAGCAGGGCAGGATGGGGTGTCCCCTGCCACCACCTCCTGTGGGGACACAGGCTTCTCCCAGCTTCTAGGAAATGCCACTGGGCAGTCACCCCTTGCCCTCGAGCAAGGTGATAGTTTGGGACCGCCTACACAAAGGTGTGATCCTTGTCTCCAAGATTTCCCACCCCAGGCTGCAGCAGAGTCTGGCTGCTCAGGGGCAGTGGCACGTTGCTTGGTGGCTTTAGCCCCTCCTGTATGGACACTTCACTCCCATTTGAGGTCACACTTGGCCTTGGAAGGGACCAAAGGAAACCACGGGGCTGTGACACTGTCCAAGAGCAGAAGCAGGGACAACCAGGTGACAGGGTGTGATTTTCTCTGCAGTACAACACCCTCCTCTCAGACATGGAGACCACGTACAGCGTAGCCAAGGTCTGCAGAGAGAACAAGATCTGTCACCCCCTGGATCCTGGTAAGATCTGGTTCACTGAGTCACCTCCAACAGGCCCAGAAAGAGGGGTTTTTTTTATCAGAGACATGCAGAAAGGTGGAGGGGTCCTCCCTCTGGGATGGGTTCTGAGCAGCACGTTGGGTCTAGCACCGTTGTGTCAGTCCAGCTTATCCCACAGCATCACTTGGGTTTCACTGTTCTCTCTTCAGACCTCACAGACATCATGGCCACCTCCCGGGACTATGATGAGCTCCTCTTTGCCTGGAAGGGCTGGCGAGATGCTTCTGGGAAGAAGATCAAGAACAACTACAAGAGATACGTGGAACTGAGCAACAAGGCAGCTGTGCTCAATGGTCAGTGTCCTGCTCCCTTAGAGATCCACCTTGGTCTTAGCACCCTGTGAGCAGAGGATTGGGCTGATTGTCCAACACATGGCCAAAATCTTGAGGCTGTGGAGGTCCCACCAGCTCCCACGAGATCCATTGTCTCATAGATCTGGAGGGACCTAGGGTGCCTAAGCAGCAAGACAGACTCTTGCCCAACAGGCACAGTGTCAATAGCTTCTTCTCTTTCCCCACCACAGGCTACAAGGACAACGGGGACTACTGGAGATCCCTGTATGAGACACCCACCTTCGAGGAAGATCTGGAGAGGTTGTACCAGCAGCTGCAACCCCTGTACCTCAACCTGCACGCCTACGTGCGCCGGGCCCTCTACAAAAAGTATGGAGCAGAGCACATCAACCTGAGGGGTCCCATCCCTGCTCACCTGCTAGGTAAAGGCTTTACTAGGCCCTTGAAGGACCATGTCTCCCACCAGGCACAGTTTGCTCCAAGTCCTGCCAAGAGTTGAGGCTGGTCCCTGTCCAGCTCTGGCTGAAGGGCTGAGACCCAGGGAAGGGCAACACACTCAGCATGACCTCTCCTGCATGGATGGGCTCCTGCTTGTGTCACCCAGGGGCCAGACAGGGTGACCCACTCTGTGCAGGAGTCAGGAGTAACTGGTTGCCTTTGCCCTTCTCTCCCTGTCTCCCTCCTGCCACACATTGTCCTCCTGTGCTTCTCAGGCAACATGTGGGCACAGTCGTGGTCCAATATTTTCGACCTGGTGATGCCTTTCCCAGATGCCACCAAGGTGGATGCCACCCCAGCCATGAAACAACAGGTCAGTGCTATCCCAGGCTGCTCAGGGGAAGCCCCTTGGAACCCAGCACCCTTTGGCCACTGCCACCACCCATGTTACCAAATGCTCTGGGTGCTGCCCAAAACCTCCATGGCTCATCCATATTCTCTCCCCACCTGGATCTGCCAAGGGCTGGATCCAGCTCTAGCTGCCCCCAGAAGATGTCCCTTCCTAGAGGAACAGACCTGTCCCTGGCCTCCCATCCTCCCCAGTCCCCACTGCCCCTCACCAGCTCTTCTGTCTGCTTTCTCCCCAGGGCTGGACACCCAGGAGGATGTTTGAAGAGTCAAACCGTTTCTTCACCTCTCTGGGCCTCATCCCCATGCCACAGGAGTTCTGGGACAAGTCCATGCTGGAGAAGCCAGCAGATGGGAGGGAGGTGGTGTGTCATGCCTCAGCCTGGGACTTCTACAACCGCAAGGACTTCAGGTGCCCATGGGGAGCAAGTGGTGGTCTCAGCTTAGGTTGTGCTGGGGCAGATAGCAACGTCTGGGTGGTATAAGGACACATGGCCAGGTGCCACCACAGTGTCTGTTGTCCTCTGGCTGTGGCAGCCCCACTCTGGCATTGTCACTGGTAACCAGGATTGCTGGCAGGAACCCCCGTGGAGGATGGAGGGCAGCCAGTGGTTCCTCTCCCTGCCATGGAGAGTGGAAATGCCAATGAGCAAGGAAAGTGAACGGGCAGGGGCAGCAGGAGATGCAGGAGAAAAGACAGAGACCAACCTAATGGACTAGGACCTGCCCAGCCTGGCATCAGATGTGGAGAGGGCATGTGGAAAGGGAAAAGTAGCTCAAAGGGGTGTGATCATTCCTGGAGATTTTCACCCCAGCACTGTCCTCCCTTCTCCCCCACCCTGGCCCAGGATCAAGCAGTGCACCGTGGTGAACATGGATGACCTGATCACAGTGCACCACGAGATGGGCCACGTCCAGTACTTCCTGCAGTACATGAACCAGCCCATCTCATTCCGTGATGGAGCCAATCCTGGCTTCCATGAGGCCATTGGGGATGTCATGGCCTTGTCTGTCTCCACCCCCAAACACCTGCACAGCATCAAACTGCTGGACCAAGTCACTGAGAACCAAGGTGAGCTGGGCAGGGGAGCACCAGGACAAAGGTGGGGCTGGGGGGGAACACGGAGGGTCAGGATGGGTTGGGCAGGGTGGAAGGGGCCAGGGCTTTGTGTGCATGGAGGGGACACGAGCTGGTGGGGACACCCTGCTCTTGGGCAGAAAGACCCACATGGGGTGGAGAGGTGGGTACAGAAGTGCCTTGGTCACACCTTCCCACCCTGGGCAGAAAGTGACATCAATTACCTGATGAGCATCGCCCTGGACAAACTCGCCTTCCTGCCCTTCGGTTACCTGATGGACCAGTGGCGCTGGAAGGTGTTTGATGGGAGGATCCAGGAGGATGAGTACAACCAGCAGTGGTGGAATCTCAGGTGTGCTTGAATTCAGACCCCCTCTTTGGTGCAAGGGCCTTGGCCATCATCCCACGGGGTGTTTTCTGCCCGTGGTCCAGTTGGCTGCAGTGGGACACGATGGGATGCACAGCCCCTCACCCTGTTCCCTCTCCCATCTTTCCACACCTTCTCCTCCCTCTGCTGGACTAACTCTCCCTCTCCTGCCCAGGATGAAGTACCAGGGCTTGTGCCCACCAGTACCAAGGTCTGAGGATGACTTTGACCCTGGGGCAAAGTTTCACATCCCTGCCAACGTCCCCTACATCAGGTGAGTGAGCTGGGCAGAAGGGACACCACTTGGACACAGAAACAGGATCTCCACTTCAGATGCCAGTGGTGGCACCTTGTTTCATGGCTGGGGGGATAGTTGGTGGTACCAGCCTGAGGGTGCTGGGTAGTTCCAAGGACCCTGACAGAGCTTTGGAGGAGAAGGCTGGATTTGAGGGGATTTCTCCCTGTCTGAGAAGGTTGGGCTCATCCACCCAGGCAGCCACAAGACACTTGTTAGAGGAGAAATAGCATCAGCAGGTTGGACTGAGTTGATGCAGGTGGAGCTCCAAAGCCAGTGAGGCTCCTCCAGGTTTGGGAGGGTGCAACCAGGGCATGAGGGGGACCACATCCTCCAATGCACAGCCACTAGTAGGGTCCATGTCCTCACCCTTCTCCACCTCCTCCAGGTACTTTGTCAGCTTCGTGATCCAGTTCCAGTTCCACCAAGCACTCTGTGACAAAGCCGGGCACAAGGGTCCCCTGCACACGTGTGACATCTACCAGTCCAAGGAGGCTGGGAAGGTCTTGGGGTAGGTGTGTGGGCAGGGCAGAGCCAAGGCGTTGATGTCCCCAAATACCTTAAAGCCAAACCAGCAAGACAGGAGGCAAGAGTCACCCATCCCCTCCTGACCCCGCATGGGATGCTCTGGTTCCCAGCCCTGGGGTGTGGGCAGAGGGGACCCCGAGCAGGGGCACCCTGGGCTGGGTGCTGGGGCTGTGATTGCACAAACAGCCACTAGATGGTAGCTGGGACCCTGGCAGGTGGGAGGCTCCCTCCCTCCTCTTCCTCCTCCTCAGCTCCTTAGGGAAAACACTCCCTCGCTTCCAGAAATGCACTTGCAAAATTAACCCTTTCGCCCAGGAACTGCTCCCGCAGCCAGCTGGATTCACTGGAGGGCTTGAATCCACCTAAATTCCCTCTTTCCCCCAAGCCAAACCTCCTTCCCTATGTTCTGGGAAGCCCTTTGGTGTTGGGGACACAGGCTGTACCCCCAAGCCCTGGGGAAAAGGGAAGGGCTGGTGGCCAAGAGGTGACAGAACCCACTGGAGCTGCTTTCTCCTGCTACAGGGATGCCCTGAAGTTGGGTTTCAGCAAGCCATGGCCCAAAGCCATGGAGCTCATCACGGGGCAGCCCAACATGTCAGCTGATGCCCTGATGAGCTACTTTGAGCCACTCATGACATGGTTGGAGAAGGAGAATGAGAAGAATGGGGAGGTCTTGGGCTGGCCTGAGTACAGCTGGACTCCTTACACAGGTACGTGGGGCTCAGCCAAGCACAGCAGGTCCATGATGGGGCAGAGCACTGGCCTCACCAGGGCCAGGATGGGGCATGTGGGAGAGATGGAGTTGTCTTGGTGCCCCTTGACCACCTGAAAAGCCACAGGGTGTTTGGATTCTTCTCCTTGATTTCCCATGGAACTGAGCCTAAAGGGGACACAGCATCCAAGAGCCCAGCAAAGAGAGAGCTGGTGACCCAACACACCCCAGCCCAGAGCCACGAGCACCAACCATGTCCCTCATTTCTCCATTTTCCAGCCACTCCAGCCCAAGCTGACTCGAACCAGACTGATTTCCTGGGCATGTCCCTTGCCAGAGACCAAGCCACGGCGGGTGCCTGGGTCCTGCTCGCCCTGGCACTCGTCCTCCTCCTCACTGCCATCATCCTGGGAGTCAAGCTCTCCTCAGCCAGGAGAAAGGCCATCAAATCCAGCTCAGAAATGGAACTGAAATAAGGTGGCCACCAGCAGGACAACACGGACAGGGTGCAAGTGTGGGCATTTGGCCATGGGCACGTTTGCCAAGGAAGCCATGGGTTTCCACAGCCCAGGACTCCTCTCTCCAATCAGGTCAGACGTTTTTTTCCACTATGCAAGAGCCCAAGCAGAAAAGAGCTATTTATTTGTCAACGTCTGCATCAGGGGAAGAGAAATTCAGGCACTGGAGGGCACGGAGCCATCGTGAGCTGCCCCTGCACCCAGAGCTGGGAGCTGGTCCAGCTTGGACACCCACCAGCCATCTCCAGCCTGTGGGCAAAGCCACAGAGACTTCAAGTGACAGAGGGCAGTTTGGGGAGGGACAGGGCACCTTCCCAGCTGTTTGCCTGCTGCCAGGCTGTTCACTTGCATGGATGAAAAATAAACTCCTGTCTTGTCACCCTCAGGGCAGCTGCTCAGCTCCTTCTTGCAAGGTGGGCTGGGGGTCTCCAGGGGACAGGGCTCTCAAGCAGGAGACATGCCACCCTCACCCAGTGCAAATGCAAAGCCCTGGGGACCAGGCTGGCTTTACAACAGCACATCTGCAGCACCCAAACTCTGCCAGGCCCATCAGGAGAGCTCAGCACCCCTTTGCAGCTTCTCCCCTGAAGCGGGACTCCCATCAGGCTGAGTCTGGGGGCTCAGCCTCAGGAAAGGGCTGAAGCAGGGACAGAAATCCCCAAAAGTCCAGACCTGGACTGTTCAAAGGGTTGGAGGATCACCAAGCCCAGGCTGGGATGGGGCTGGAGCTGTGGCTCCAACTCCAGCATGACATGTGTTTACATAAGAGCTGGGGGGGCTCCAAGGTCAGTGATCCCTGACCATCCAGCTCCTGATTATCTTGGAATCAGACGTGCTTGAGGCTTTTTTTTCTTCCCCCCCCCCCAGCTTCCCTCCCCATCTTTCTTCTCCTTCTGTAAATAAAACTTCGTATTTGTTCTGCAGTGATTAGGTGCAAAACTAATCCCAGGCTGGGGATTATTGCAGCCTTAAAGAGCTGGGACCTGCTGCAGGCAGGGGAAATGAAGGGATCTGGGATGACCCAGCCCGTGGCCTCTGCCCTCTGTTAGGTCTCACGGGGGGGAAACTGAGGCCTGGGAGAGGCTCCTGGCACCCGGGAGAGGAGCAGGAGGCAGAGGTGTCTCTGCCCACCCACGCTCGGGTTTTGTTTGCTCTCTGTTCCTCCCTCCCCAG